GAGCTTGCTGTCGTGCTTACACCATTAACCTCTGAACTACACACAGTTAAGGCTGAATAACTCCTCCGTGAAAAAGAACCGCTTGGATAACATGCTGCACCGAGGTTATTGAAGGTTCCTATCGGGTATACACTAGCAATCTCTGAAAAGAAAGGCACAGGTAAGGGCGGGGCGAAGGGCGGTGAGGACGGTTGACAAACTGATGAATATTTAATGATGTATTCTGGGTAGAAGTGATTGGCATCGAAGACGACGAAGATGGTTGGGTTTACTATTTCATCCACACACGAGTCGTACAGATGGGTGTCGACATTTGCAAAATCCTTTCCTGGTGGGCTTTGATAACTGGGGTGGCCCTTGGTATAACAGCCAACGAGAACTTTAGCTAAAAACATATACTGAAACAAATCAGAATCTCGCTTCGCGTAGGAGTGGCTGTATATGGCATTGACTGCAAAGTAGGTTCCTTGGCCAAGCTTAAGCATCTTGTTCTTGTTATGTAAACGCGGATCAAAGTTCTTTTCACAGATGGCCTCTACGTTTTCTGGACTCGTTCCGTGAAACAATTTCTTCTCATTAACCTGCTGCCGATTTAAAAGCTGAGCTTTCCTCATCATCTTTTCTTTACTCCTTGAAAAAAGAAAAAAAGAAATTTTCCCATCAACTTTGTTTGTATCAGAAACAGTTACTAAATTAATTCTGTATTCCGGTTCAAAGTGGTCAACACAGCTAGAGATTATTTTGGCTTCTGCTGCCCTGAAGGGACTAGGGTTCTTCGGGATTTACCGGGTCCATTCCGTCAATGTTACCCCCCTGCATAGGAACAATTCGTGGTTTATTACGGTGGTAATTCTTGGCAATTGCAACCTCCACAAACAGCTTGCCGACACGCCTCGTAGCTCAACCACTAGAGCATGGTGATCTTAGTCCAGCAGTTGCAGGTTCCAATGCCATCAAGCAGCTAGGTTAAAAGAAGTTTTATTATGTTTGTTTGCTTAGTGGAGTTCCTAACTTTCTTACTGGGACTAACGTTGAGACAGAAATTCCTGGATCTGTTCTCCGCAATTAAACAAAATTCCCAGAGACTCTCTTTCGTCTTTGCAAGCATAGTGCTCATTATCGAATGAATCATAATAGTTCGCACTCAGCCATACCTTGGATGGCTGTTATATTCTTGAAATCATGCATGTTTAACTCTGGTTCACATTTCCTCAAACAGTTATTTCGTTACCTGCAGTACTCCTCCCACATTAAAGGATTCTGAACACGGTCGATATTATCGATCACCACCCGGCTATTCATCGACCGAAAGAACAACTTCTTCACCTCTTGAAATTCGGCTGAAGCTGCGTCTAATGCAACGCGTGTGCAGGGCGCGTTGAAAGGCATTGACGACCAATGGCTTGGAACATGGCTGTAAATGTTAGTCTTCACAGAACTCTCCTCGATTTTTCTCTTAGATGTGGAATCACCACGAGCCCTTTCAAAGACAACAGTTACGATGCATTTGAACAAAGATGGGTCCTATATCCTTCCTAGGCTTTAAAGTATTATTTTTCACAATTTTCGTATTTAAGTTAGCTGGGGTTTCAACTAATTCTAAAGTAACTTGCAATACACTTCTTGCAATGCTCAAGTTGTAATTTCAAATGCGATCCGGATTGTATAGATCAAGGCGTTTCCATGAATTCCGGACGCTTCTAAGACAGTTGACGAAAATATAGGGAGCAGAGATAGTGCAGTGAAAGCGCTCGCCTCCCACCAAAGTGGCTCGCGTTCTTATCTTGGACCAGCTGGCGTCATAAGTGGTTGAGTTTGTTGGTGGTTCGCCTTTTTGCTCCAAGGGTTTTTTTTTTTCCTTCAGGTTCTCCGGTTTTCCTCCTCCCACAAAATATGAAATATTCAACACTCCAAACTCTAATTAAATCTCCATACACAAAAAATTTATAACGATCACGAGTTCAAGAGAGCTCTTCCGTGTGTCGTGTGTAAAGGATTGCATTTACTATACATTTACATTTGCATGAATCTACAAATTGAAGAATCTGTAAAATATCCATACCACTCATTCAGATCGTCGTAGGAGATAGGTTTTTCAGGTCTCCTTTTCACTTGTCTTTTGGTGCGAGTTCTCACATTGACTTGGTACATCTTTCTCGTCGAATCAAAAAACACCTTGTACACATTCTCTGGGGTTAGAAACTGGTACATGGCTTTTGTTTTGCCCTGGCCTAACATGTCTTGATAGGCTTGCTCTATCTGTTTCTGTAGGTCGCTTTCCTGTAAGAAAAATGTTGTCGTGTTACCGATAGTTAACCATTTATACTCACAATGAAAACCTGCTTGTCGCTTTTGCTTTTGTTACAAAAATGTATACATGTTTGGGTTGGAAAGGTGCTGGTGCATACAGGAACACTACTTAGCTACAACTTCGTAAGACTTAACCTAAATGCTAAGATTTTCTACAGTCATTAATTGAACATAAAAATTTTGAGTATACTCAAC